AAAAAAAAAAAAAGGGGAAAAGAAAAGGAATTATGCATATAAGTCACCTGGCCCTGGAAACTGGTGAGTGCTTTGGAAATATCAGGTAGAAGTATCATCATTAGGCCGGGTGCAGTGGCTCACGTCTGTAATCCCAGCACTTTGGGAGGCTGAGGTGGGCAGATCACCTGAGGTCAGGAGTTCAAGACCAGCCTGACCAACATGGAGAAACCCCGTCTCTACTAAAAATGCAAAATTAGCTGGGCATGGTGGCGCACTCCTGCAATCCCAGCTACTTGGAAGGCTGACACAGGAGAATCGCTTGAACCCAGGAGGCAGAGGTTGCTGTGAGCCGAGATTACGCTATTGCACTCTAGCCTGGGCAACAAGAGCGAAACGCGTCTCAAACGAAATAAATAAATACAATTTAAAAATTAGCCAGGTGTGGTGGTACACCTGTAGTCCCAGCTACGCAAGAGGCTAAGGCAGGAGAATTGCTTGAAGTCAGGAGGCGGAGGTTGCTGTGAGCTGAGATCGCGCCACTGCACTCCAGCCTGGGCAACAGAGCAAAACTCTGTCTCTAAATAAATAAATAAATAAAATTCCTAAATACATGCAGTGAAGCTGGGCATGGTGGCTCAAACCTGTAATTCCAGCTACTCACAAAGCTGAGGTGGGAGAATTGCTTGAAGCCAGAAATTCAAGACTAGCCTGGGCAACACTGCAATATTCCATCTCTAAAAAAAAAAGACAAAACAAAATTAGCCAGGTGTGGTGGCGCTTGCCTGTAGTCCTAGCTACTCAGGACGCTGAGGCAGGAGGGTTGCTTGACCTCAGAATGTTGAGGCTGAAGTGAGCTGTGATCACACAAGTGCACTCCAGCCTGGGCAACAGATTTGAGACCTTGTCTCAAAAAAAAAATTCAAAAGCAGTGAGTGACAGATATTAGGAATGTAAGTCACAGGTCTGTCTTTTGCAACAAATAAAAATATTTTAAACCCATTCTGCAAGGAAAAAAAAGTTAAGGAAAACCTGGCATGTTGTAATCACGTTTTCTGCGGGAATGAGCTGCTGGGGGATCCCCAAGACCACCCTGACGTTCCATGACTTGCTAGAAGGACTCATAGAATTTAGCAAAGCCATTATATTCAGGATTATGATTTATTACCATGACAACCTATAGAATAACATCAGCAGAGGCAGGGTGCTGCAGCTCACACCTGTAATCCCAGCACTGTGGGAGGCCGAGATAGGATTATTCAAGGCCAGGAGTTCGAGACCAGCCTGAGCAAAATAGCAAGACTCCATCTCTACAAAACAAACAAACAAACAAACAAACAAAAACAAAACAAAAAAACCCTGCACCTTAAAAATTAAGCAGGGACAGTGGCACATAACTCTAGTCTTAGCTACTTGGTGGGCTGAGGTGGGAGAATTGCTTGAGCCCCGGAGTTTGAAGTTACAGTGAACCATGATCAGACCACTGCACTGCACTCCAGCCTGGGTGGTGAGACCCTGTCTCTCTCTTTTTTTTTTTTTTTTTTTTTTTTTTTTTTTTTTTTT